GTCGTGTCAGGCCAGCAGCCATGTAGATACTGTAATTTGCTTAAGCTACATGATGAGGACTGATCTTCTGGGCTCACCTCACCGCTTGGCTCCCTTGCCAATGCCTGCCAGGCCGAAGCAACAGTCCGCACCCGCTTGCGCTCTGGCACACTGCCTGGAGGCTTCAAGCTACGCCCACCAAGTGCCGATGAAGAGTTGGTGGACTTCAAGGCATTCTTGCCCAGCGCACCTCAGGACCAGCTGTGGGAAATTCAATCAAACTGGTGTCTGCCTAGATCTGCCAAGCCACGGTCCATGGTTGCTGAGAGCTCATCCAGCTTTTCCAACAATGCCGCACCTTTCTTGGTGCCCTGGTCCTGAAGCAGCTGCGCAACAAAATCACCAGAACACAGTTTGCCGAGGTCGCAGCATTGCCGGGTGGCTGTGCTTTGGAACCTTAGCAGGCCCAGCCCCCGCCAAAAACAACAACAATTTCTGGAAAACCATGAGAATTACAAGGGAAATGGAACCTGGGGCAGGATTGGGGGAGCATGACTGCCACCACCTCCCCCCCCTGAAATTTCATTTATGCGGCAACTGTGCGCCCCTTCGACACATGGTGGATGGAACATAACGAGGGGAAAGCGTTTCTACTTGCAAGGTAAGCTACAATTTGCACTCCCCATGTTCTCCCATTCTTGAAACAACAACGGACAAAACCTAAAACAAAGCAACACAAGGCAAACCAATGCAGAAACTGCCAAACCAATGGATACCAACAGCGCCGGGAAATGGAACGATGAGGGGGCGGGGAGGGGGGAGTTGTTTCTATCTGTAGAAATCTCCCAGGCATCGAAAGCTGGAAAATAAACGGGTAACCCGTGGAAACCTACCTCACCGCCCCCCCCCCCCCCGCCTGCGTTCTCATATTCCATTTTTGAGAGGGAAGGAACGTGGTTGCACTTTCCACCTCCCACACCATATTGAAATATACAGGTGTCGTTCTTGGCAGGACTAGCTGATAAACTATGAAAAGCAAAAAACGAGAACAGATCCCTTGTGCCAAGACTTGTCCTTTTGGGGTTGGTATGACTTGCAAAGCACGCCGGGCGGGAGATGTTCAAAGGTAATGCGCCAGCGCAAACCTCTGAGGCGCAAACCCACGGCAGGGCTTGAAGGAGGAATGCTGCCAGCGCTAGGTGGCCGAGCAGGCGCCTGTCCCGCGCACGGTGAAAATTCCGGCTGGTAGCTCCCGATTCGGACTGACTCCAAACCCCGGAGCCTTTCGGTTGGGCGGCGGCGGTGGCACTCGCTTTGGCGGAGCCTGAGCCGTTTGAGCCGTTTTGACCCATGCCACAAGTTTGACCCGGAGCCTTGGCAGCGCCTTTTCTTGGAGGAGTTCCTTCAATATCCTCCTACACGCTGCACGGCTGCACACAGCCGCAAACATGTTTGCTTTGTGCAAGGCAGAGGGGATTTCCCTGCTGCGACCCCATCAAAAGATCTAAGTTAAGCTGCTAAGTCCAATTTCATGGGCAACCCCGAAACTGCATAATCCGTGTCTGGGAGGGACTCAGCTTTTCTTTTACAAATGGACATAACAGTAAATGGGAAGTGGCCGGAAAGCAATCGCAAGGCAAATGGGACACAGTAGGAAATAGCGAATGGGAAGCAATAGTAGGCTAAACAGCAAAGGCAATACCTAAAAAGCGAGAGCACACAAATCCACGCAACTTCTGGCACGGGGATGCATGAAAGCGCGTGCTTGTATAGGATATTGAATTTTCCCAAAAAACAACCCAAGGAAAACAAACAAAACTTCTCTTATGGTTCGTATCCAGCTAAAACCAGATATATTCCTGTCTCCTCCTTCTCACCTCCTACACCAAAAAAAACAACTTGAAGCACATCGAACCGCACGTCCAAGGTTCCTACAAAGAACTCAGAGATGCGACTGGCGCCCAAAAGAACCATGCGATTGATTCGGGCCGTATTTCCGGCCAGCGCAGAATGTCATTGAGATTCAGGTACGCTCGAAACTAAGCGAGGTGTGCAGGATTTCTAGCACATCAGAACGTGTGAGCTACTCGGCAACCCCTTGGCAGCTTGATCGAGCTAGTCTTTATATTGTGTAATTCATGCTTTGGGTAGGATCCAAACTTTGCTGAGTCATTTTCAGCCTTAGTTTGCTCCAGTTTACCTAGCCCAGGTTGGCAGCTTGACCAAATGCAGTCAAGGGTTCTAGTCAACAAAACAGCAAAGGATCGAACTGAAGTGGAAGAAATGGATAGAGACTCACTTTCAACTGGCGTGACGGCCACTTTCATACAAACACATCAATTATAAGACCGTTTTCAGCAAGGCCGCTTCAACTCCACTTCCCGCGCAAGGCTCCCATGTCAAGTAACGCCAGTGTCAAGCCAGAAAAGAACAAGCAAAAGCTCATGGAATTCTTCATTGCCCAACGGTACAGCACGGCTACAAAAAGTGATTGCTTTGGGGCCTTGCCAAGTTGATGATATTCCAAGGAGAAATTCCAGAGCACCCCTATGCGTAGGGTGTGTGGATGAACATTCATGACAAGCTGCAAGCTTGAGCAGTCCAGAGTATGCATGACAGCGCACCAGCCAAAGTAAGCCGATTAGATTCCGCTCCTCCAAATCATCCAGGGCAAGCGTGCTAGCCACTGATGCTTGCCTGCAGACGAGGGATCAGTGAAAACACTTGCTCCCGAATACTTGGAGGTGACTCAACTGTTTCGGCCCAGTTGCGAAGACATTGTTTTGTCTCCACGCGGTGTCTCTTGCTCTTCGGGAGCATTTGCTGGGTAGTCTTTGCCTCAAAGCATGGAAAAGGCAAGCAAATATGCAAACACTTTCGATCAAGCCTATATGAAATCCTGCTTCTTGCCAGCGAGTCACAAAAACTTGCCCATTTCTGAGATGCTTTATCCAAGGCATCCTGCGCAAAATCTTCTGCACACGTGGGAAAGAAAGCTCTCACATGATGCTGCGGCCTGCCAGTCTGGCTCTTTGCCAAGTGTGCTGGGGGCTGCTGCTATCTGGGACACCTGGCTGACAGTACGCAGGGCAGAAAACGGCAATTGTGATATGCCTGCTCTGCATCCAGCTGGGACAGCAATCCTTGCACCACCTGTAGTGTTGCTGCCAGCGATGCCTTCCACGTGCAAAGCCCTTCACTGGCATTTTGGCTTTCGCACAATCCGCCCTCAAGCAGCGCGCCTCCTGCCGCTTGAGCTTTGGATGAAAGGTTGCAGGCTCAGGCGTTGATTTCTCGAGCTGCTCATGTCGGAACGCCTGACAAATCTGCTTGAAACTTAGGATTCGCGGTGACTTGCTCATGCTTCAACTTTCCAGTCCGCACCTGCCACACATACTACACATACTACACATACTACACATACGAAAGGTGCTGGCCTCCGCGCCGAGTTGGGCTGAAAGCGCTGCCAATGGGCGCAGAAGATCTTCCGCGATCTCTGTTCTCCGTGCAGCACGCTCACAGCGGCGCCTGACGTGAGGGGACTGCATCCGATGCTTCTTAACTGGCGCTGTGGCGAGATTCTTGGCGCTTGCTGGGCATCCGGCAATGCTTCGCTCGCCTCCTTGAGCGCTGGTGCCAGCATGTCCTGCACACGCTGGCGAACAGGAGCCATCACGCGGCTCAACCCATGCCTCAGCAGCTTGTCGTCTTTGGGCAGCCTCTCTGGCCATGGCCCGCTGTGCCTAGCGGAAGTCCCTCTCACAATCCAACCGCCAAGCAGGTGCCAACCTTGGACCGGCTAATGGCGCGCAGCTCGTCAGAGTCGGCAGCCAGCTGCTCTTCGAAATCCGCGTCAATCTCGGAACTATGCACGCAGAACTGCAGTCATAACACTTGCGATATCAGCGCCAGCTTGGGTGGAAAAGCCTTCTTCTGCCATGGTGGGGGCAGCTTGCAACCTTCTTCCGGTTCTTACGATTGCCAGCCTCCTCCATCTGCTTTTTGTGCTCTGGCGTCTCCTCCAGGGGGCCCTGGCAAGTCGCGAAGCATTTTGCCATTCAAAGCGCCTCACCCCCGCCCCTCGCTCAAGCTCCAGATCATCCAGAACTTTCAACAGTTATTTGTCGCATCAATTGGCGGCCTCTTGGATGTCAGAATCCTTTGCGTAAGGGCAATCCTTGCGCAAGCGCCCCTCGAGCATTCGCAGGGAGTACCTGGCAAAATGCATGAAGCAGTGCCATCCCTCACAACTCGCAGGGGTCACAGAAGCACAGAATGCTTCTGTTTGAACCTGGGCGTTTGATCCGCTCAACCATGATGTACACAGTTGAAAGCTGCAAAGCATTACGTCGTGTTGCTCTCAGCGCGCAGCTCTGCCGTGACAGGGAAACTGATCATATCGGAGTGCAGTCTTCTAACAGTCTTCAAGGACCTTGGCAACACGCAAAAAGTCAAATCAAAAAAACATTCACACACACACACACACACAAGGCTCGATTTTGACGGAGCCTGCCTTCCTGAAGGGTTGTGGTTGCTGTCAAGCCGCTGGAATGTGAGCGCCCTTTTCTCCCGTGGTTCTGCATACCACGCCTCCAGCTCGCTCCAAAGTTTGTGGAAAGTGCAAGTGCAGGAGGGGGGGTCTGTGGCTGGAGACTGTCGGGACTACCCATTCAACTGATTGATCAAAACGGTGTCGGGACGCACAGCGCTTGTTGCTTACATGGAGCCTTGTTGATTCGTGCTTTCTCCTGCCGCACGACGAGTGCTGCACCCCTCAGCCAATGCCAGTGACACGGTTTCAGTCTGACGAAGGCAAGCCCCAGCACCCCTCTCAGGTGCACGCATGAGCACCCGGGTCTGCTCTTGCAACCGCCGGCGTTCACGCTCGAGATCCTCTACCTGGTGTCGCTCTCTTGTTCAGGATCTTCTCTTGCGCCCTCTCACTCGCGTGGGTTCAGGCCTCTTTCTCTACAGCGTCTAAGTGCTCCTTTCGAATCTTGTCCAATGCAACCTCCGCTGGCCATCACACAAAGCTCACACTGCAATTCAACCAGCACCACCACCTGCGTCTCATCAATGGCCGTCACAAGTGCCGCCAGCTGCTGCATGTTGCGCGCCTTGTCCCTGACGTGTCTGTGCATTCATCCAGGCCAAAAGCAAAAAACCGGCGACAGCCAGTGTTTAGGTTCCTGTGAAGGGGCCAATATTTCGCAATGCCATGGCATCCTGGACGGACGGCCTGCGACGTGAACAAAATCAAAGGTAATGGTTGAGAGCTATATTCCGCTGGAGCTGGGTTCTCTCCAGCTCTAAACCAGCTCCAAGCCCACCCTACAACCCCCCATGAACCCGCCCTAAAGTCACCTGCAGTCAGCCCTAGACCCACTCTGAATCTATCCTAAACTCACACTAAACTCACCTTAAACTCACTCTAACCCCCCCGCCCACATATGAGTGTCGGACAATATTACTTACTTCTCGAAGTCGTCATCGCAAAATTGGGTAGGCCCCATCGGTTTTCATGGTTTTCGCTACATGCAATAACTGAAGAGTTCGAAGTACACGCCGGTTAGCCGAAAACACTGAAAGCACATAACTGCTCCTGCAATTTGAAGTTGAAGCGAAACCAGCAAACCGCAGTTGCGCCTCAGGGACCCGCAGCTTTCTTGCACGCACGCCTTGCGCGCCTGTGTACGGGGACTTCATGACTTCTTGTCTGGGAGCTCAGTGAGCTCCAACCGAGGCTGCCCTGCGATGGTGGCAGGCCTCGTTATTTCCAAGCTGCTAGCTCCGTAAAACCGCTTGAGGCCAAAGAAGGCTGAGCACCTTTCGTAACGCATGCTCGAGCCAACAGCTTATTGCTAGAGGCAAGCCCTGGCAAAAGTATACGCCGCTGACGATTCTTTGCGAGCTGGAGCCCGGGCTGCTGCTTTCAGCAGCCGCATCGGCCACATGGCAATTGTAGGGGCATCGGTCACACATCTGCAGGGCATTGGTCGGGGGCATCAGTCGTGGGTGCTTGGTTTCCCGAACTTGCGTTGTCTAAGTAGTGTCTCTCTGCTTGTATTTTACACTACTCCCCGACGGTGCTGAACGGCCACAGAGCGCCGCGCAAGTTACGAGCACTCTCGCGCGAGACGCGCGCTCTTGCGCGAGTCTGCGCGAGTCTGCGTGCCGTCTGCGAAGGGCTCTGTCAGAACTACTTGTCACATCTGTCTGTCACAGACATTTGTGTAAAAAGCTCTATCACAGCTATCTGTCTATCATCTCTCACAGGCTCCGACCAAAATTGACCAGCCCAAGTTGGACGCGTTCTTCCACGGTCCACTCTGCCATGATTTCAACCAGATTTCAAACGCCAAAAAGGCGTTTGAGACGAACAATGTAGCATTGCAAGTCTTTACTCTGATTACGGGGCATCGGTCTTGGGTAGGCCCCCATCGGTTTTCTGGGTTTCGATAGGTTTTAGAGATTATGAGCCAAGTGATGTCGCGCCGAATATGAATACAACCGCAGTCATTCAATAATATTGTCGGGTACTCACATAACCCTTCACCACCTACCCCTTGAACAAAACACCCCCCCCCCTCCTCCCCACAAACCCTAAACAAAACCAAACACCAACACCTCCCTAAACCCTAGACGACCCTAAACCTGCCCCACCCTCAACCTACCCCCCTAAACCCAAAGCAACCCTTACGCTAAACCCACCCTCAACCGAACCGACCCTAAGCCACCCTAAACTCCCCTTTCATCACACCCTGAGCCCACCCTACTAAGCGCACAAACCCAGTTTAAACCCACCTAACCCCAAACTCACTAAATTCATTGAATTCCACCCGAAAAAAATCCCTAACCTGGCCCCTGAAGTCCAAGAAATCATTCAGCAAATTGTACACTGCACTCATGGTAGAGCTAAATGGAAAAGGATAACAACACGCAATTGCTTGACGCAGCAAGGGAAATGAGCTGAGCTTTCATTGATAGAGGAAGCACATGTATAGAAATAAATTAATACACGACCGCTAAAAAGCTACAAAAATTGATGGCCTGCGGCCTAGCCTGTCACGTTGCCGCCGCCATCGCCGGTGCAAGGCCCGGGTGACTCGCTCTAGGCACTCCTTTGTGTGCACGTCGCGGCGCCGCATCTGCGCCTGGTATCCCCAGATTAGGCGATTCTGGGATTAGACAGGCAACCCTTTTTGCTAGGCCGTACTTGCGAGATTGGTGCTTGACCGCAGTGTGTGATGAAACGGCGCAGACTTTTCAAGTCAAGTACGTGTGGAGCCAGTTGACACGTTCAGATTGCACCACACGCCACCAAAAACATTTGATCATCCCATCCTGCATCTTCAGCTTTATGCTTCGCTCCCAGTCGTACTCTTGCTGACCTGGAGTCAGCAAGCAGTTCGTGGCCACCTCATGCAATGAAATCCGTACGTCGCGCTCCTGCCTTCAAACATGACGAACTCACGCTTGTCCTCCTTGCCCATCCTTTCAGCACATGTGCTCTGCTGAAAGCGTTGCACCAACCAATGCGTGTTTACCGTGCAGGTTTGCAAGCCGGGACACTTGTCTTCATCTGTCGCAACAACCCTTAATCTTTGATCCACGTCTGGCCTTAGACCGAGCAAGGCTTACCGCGGCCAGACTGCACAAACATATCCGCTTTCCAAGAAATAGCAATCAGGGGCCCGGCGGATTATTCTTTTCCTCTTGGAGTCTGCTTTGCAAGGCTTTGAGGCACGCTTTTAGCTCCGGCAGCGCTTCTGCTGTTGCATGCCTCGCTGCCAGGACTGCGAATGGCAAAGACAAGCATTCCTGCAGCCTTGGTTCAGCTACCTGAACTGAGGCCGGAACACCAAGTCCCTTTCTTGGGTTGACTTCTTGCTCTCCTTGGAAGGCTTTGCCAACGACCCTTGCAATGAAAGGCATATTTTGTAACCAAGTCTCCCATGCTTCATCTGGCGCAGCTTGGGCCGTGCTCCTCGCAACTCTCACCCAGGTTTTTTCCCAACTGGCAGCTCTCAAAGAATCTGCATGAGGGAGTTGATAGGGGCTATCAGCCTAGGTGGAGGGGGTAGGGGGATGAACGCCGATTGCAGAAATGGATCCGTCGATTTGCGAGCCATGTGATTTCCGCGTGAAGCGAACTTCGAGTGGAAAGACGCCTCATGAGATGGAGACGAGCCGTGAGTGGGGGGGTTCATTCGCGGTCCAAGGCAGCGGGGCCTGACCAAAGGTTGTGTGAATCTTGGCTTCGCAGCGAGTCGCGGACTACGGGCATTGAGGAGCCGCATGGTGCACTCATCCTGATGCGGTTTGTGCGCCCAGAGATGCCTTTGCTGAGGTGCTTTTCGTTTGTGTTTGGGGGCTTTAGGGAATGCCTTTGGGAATATGTTTGGGGATGTTTTTGAGGGCTTGGGGCAGTGTATGAGTGTGTTCTTGGGGATGTCTGTGCGGATTTGGGAGTGTTTTGGGTATGCGTTTGGCGATGTTGGTGGTCGTGTTTGGGGATTCCGGGGTGTCGTTGGCGTGTCGTTTTGGGGAGCGTCAGGGGTGTGTTTGGGGGTGTCTTTGAGGGGTGTTTGGGGGTGTCTTTAAAGTGGTCTTTGATGCTTTTTGAAAGCGATGTCGTTGGACGGTTTGTCTTTGGCGACATTTTTGGAGATGTTGTGGAAGTGTTTGGGGGTATTATTGTGGATGCCTTTGAGGAAGTAATCTCTTCCCCCTATTAATAAATACGCCCCCCCCCCCCCTATTATAAACAAATCCTCCCAAAAATATATTATTATTTTAATTGGGGTTTTTGGGGTTGGGTTTTTTTTCTTTTCCAACAATGTGAGGGTTCACATAGGATTTGGAGGAAATGGATTGAATTGTAAGGTCCGCGGTTTAATAAGGAAGCCAGGCAGGAAGCCAGGCAGGAAGCCAGGAAGCCGCGCGAAAAAAAAGAGGTCAGAGAGTCAGGGAGTCAGGGACAACCAGGGACAACCTTTTGGGGAGAGACCCCCTAATAAGGATTCCAAGACTTTAGTATTGGTTTAGTATTGGCGCAATTAAAAATCCATTGTGCGGAGTGGAAATCTGGTCCCGGGCCCCGGATTTCCATATTTTTATTAATTGGGGTCATTCATTAATAGGGGGAAGAGATTAGCATCTATGGGAATCTTTTTCGGTGTCTTACATGTTTTCTCTGCGTTCCGGTTCGTGGCCTCTATCAGGTTATGAGTCCTGCTGTGCATCGAAGCAAACCAACATGCGTGCGGGTGCCTGCCAGCTTCCCGGGGAGGTCGCAATGCCACCACCTGAAGCGCCCTGAAGCAACTGGCCGCTGTTGCAGAAACCTGGCCGATCGCAACATGCGCTGGGGAGTGTTGGCAGTCACGAGCTGGGAGACTTAGACATCTGACAGCGACTCGGAGTGGGAACTGCAAAGCAAGGATGGGTGACCTTTTTTCCAGCTCCTGCTCACTTCTCGGATCAGAAGGCCGACAAGAACCACAAAAAGCACCATGACGGCCAAGCCAGCGCAAAAGTTGCCTGGTGTCTTGCTGAGCAAGGCTGCAAGATGCCGGTCGGCTGCCACCCCTGCCTCACCTTGAGAAGCGTGAAAATTGAACCGCACCCAAACAGGCCAATGATCGCTGACTTCTGCGGGGTCGTGGCCATGCTCAATGCCAACTGCCTCAACTGAGGACCGCAAAGATTCTGAAATAAGAATGTGGTCCAGTACGGACCGCTCATTTGCAAACTGAAATTGACCATCTTTATTTCTGTCGAACCAGGCAGTGTACCGTTGCTGCTGACTTACCATCTGCAAAACATTCCACATATCTGTGGATCCATCACTGTCAACATCTTTGAGCAACTTCAGCACCGAAGATGTTGGTTGCTCTCCACTTGGACCAGGGGCGTCTGCATCGAAATCATTCAGATCCCCCAGTACGATGACATGGCTTCCGCGCTGCAAAGCTCGTCTTACAATCTCCTGAGCAACCTGCGCCTGACCCTCGCGTTGCGCACACGCTTGAGGGTTGTGAGGGTGAGCTTTCAAGTGCATGCCAAGCAAAATCAAATCTTCCTCTCCAAGCGAAAAATTCGCAATCAAGTGCTTGCTTATCCCTGTGGTGCCACCACTGCTAATTGATGCCCGATCCGCGCTGCGCGTCAGCTTGGCCTGAGGTTCTAGCCGCGAAAGCAGTGCTACATTTTGCCTCAAATGGGTGTCACTCCCGGCCACCAGAAACGGCCTATATCCACCCAATTCTTCAGCGACACGTGACAGGATTTCGCAGTTCTCAACCTCTGCGAGATGAATTATGTCCGCATCAATCTTTCGAAGGATTGCTGCTACTGCCCGAATTTTGACTGACACCTTGGCAGGGTCCATCAGAGGAGCCGGTGGAGGATCGTCAATACCATCGAATAGCCATTGCACATTCCAGGTTGCCAGCGTCAGCCTACCTGCCCAGGAAGCATCAGTTTGGCAACAGCACTCTCAGTTGGCTTGTTGCGAGTTGCATTCCTCTCTGGTTTGCAAGTTACGAGAGCATTTGCAAAGCACTCCATCCCTCCCTGAGATCTTCTTGAACTCCGGGTGGGCATGGTCTCTGCAAATGTTCCTATGAGGAAATGTCGGCTACAAATGTTAACTGCAAGTGTGAACAAACAAGAAGCAGCGTTTGGCAAAATCATGCAAAATCCTAATTTACTACCATCCGCACAAACACTACCATTACAACCGGTGTAGCCAGGCGTGGTTGCGGCCGGCGAAGCATGCCGGAAGGGAAGGGCTGTGCATAGACAGGGATGAAAAGAAACATCCTGAAGTACTCCCCTGCAAAATCTGCAAATTAACATGGAACCCAGGGTAAAAGCGTCCCCGGAAAGGAGATTCCTCGAATGATGTTGTCTTGTGTGTTACTCTGTCGCGGGGCAACTGCCAGTTTGTCAGGACCCTCGAGACGTATCTAAACAGCGCATCAATAATGAAGACATCATTCGTTCTGATCAAGTCAGGTGTTTTTGGGGAAACAAGCATCCCCATCTTGGCCCTCCTTCAATAGGAGAAGGTGAAGGCGAGGTCTGCACGTCAGGGCACTCGACTTGCAAGCCAAACGATGGTGATGGCACACGCCTCCTGACAAGAAGCGCTCTCTGGAATAAAGGTGGCCGAACACTTTGGGCTTTTGGCACTTTTACAAAGCCAGCTCCTGGGTAGACAAGAGCGTTGTTCGCTTGACCAGCGGCACATCTCCGAGCGGCCGCCACCAAAGGCTTCGCACACTGCTGCGCTGGTGATAACTTCCTGCCTTGCATTACATTGGCACCACACGCCAGAGCCTCGCACAATGCAAATATATCACGTGTGTGCGTGTGCGCGTGCCCAACAGCCAGCCCCGCCTTTGTTCGCTCCAGGCCGCCCATCGCAAGGATGCGGCATGTGCAAAGCAAAAGTGTCTGGGCAGCCCAGCCCAGTTTAGCGCTAAGGCATCCCCATGTTAAGCAATTTGCTTAAGGACAACCATGGCGCTTCTTGGTACTGTGCTGCAACAATTTGGCCTCCCTGCTGTTGCCACTGTTGAGCAGTCAACTGGGCTACTTCGAGCGCGGTGTTGTGACGAAGGTTGTAGAAGAGGGTTGCGTGGTTTGTGCTGGTAGCCAGCTAGGGTGGAGACTGGTGAGCTGTTGAGTGAGTCAGGGAGGCGAAGTCCGTGTCTTTGCAGGGGTAGCATTGACCGCTGATGGCACTTGCAAAGACTAACCATGGAAGCAAGCTCACCACTGCCTCCGCAAGAGCCTCACATGGAGACAGCTTCTTCAATGCCTGGCAGGACAGGTGCCGCAAGTATGTACGCTTTGCGCACGCGGTGCAAGCACGCATTGTGCCAAACAACTTTCTGCAAGGATCTGGGCCCCTTCTACGCACCTCTGCATCAGGAAGCTGCTGCTGCAAAAGCTCCTGATCGGAGCAAGGCTCTGACCCATCCGGCCCGGGCAGAAGGCTTGTCTCTAAGGTGTCTGCTCGGCTTGCTGCTTCTGCAGGCTCATCGCCCAGCGCTTTTCTCAAAGCCTCTTGGCGAGCGCGTACCTGACAAGCTTGGATGCATGGCACGTCCCCGCAAAGCTGATCTGATACGCGAGGTGCCTTTCGCTGCGCCAGGTGAATGCGTGCAGCCTGACAAACGGCCAAGGCAGCTAGCCAAAGACGGCAAACATGTCCAAGCATTGCCTTGGCAGCTTCCCGCTTTTCTTTGGCAGTTTCTGCCGCCTGCATCACAGACCTGAACTGCGAGCGGCGAGTTGTTTGACAACCAAGCCATGCTTGATATTTGTCGAAACCCCACCGTCAGCCAACATCAATGTCGCATGCTGATTTGACACATGTGGACGCAGGAGTGCTACTACGCAAGAGCCTAAAAGCAAAAAGGCTCAAACAGCAAAGCGTTCAAAATTCAAAGCGTGCTAAAGGCTCAGTACGTCAGGCGTGGCTCTTTTGAGCTGCAGAAGCTACGCAACAAACCTAGTGCAAGTCTTGACATCGGCAAACGGATGTGGTGGCATGACGGTCAAATTTGGCAGGCCAAGAGGAAACAACAGGCGGTGGGCCTGCTGAGAAGCGAGGGCCCTCAAGCAGGAACAAAAAGAAGCCACGCGGCATGAATCCGGACTGCATGCCAGAGAGGACGCGCCCTTCAGTTGGACGCACTCGAGGTGTCTGAGACACGCTTGCATCCCTAGCTAACACTGCAAGTGCGCGCTACATTACAGCCTCAATCTCGGAGCCCTGGTTGCACGCCAAACAGACGCAAGAGTCTAAAAGCGAAAAGGCTCAAACAGTAAAGCGTGCTAAAGGGCCGCTATGTCAAGCACTGCCTTGTGCGCAGCAAAAGCTATGCAATGCTTGCGCCAGCTGTCATGGCCGGTTCATGCCACCAAATTCAGGAGCGAACCTTGTCAGTGACCTGAACTCTTGCACTTTTGCCGTGTCCAGTTTGCCCTCCGCCTCCTGCAGCATGAACGCTGTGCACAACAAATGCAGTTCAAAGTCATTCAGCGCGGTCACTGGAGCGCCTTGATTCGCGTGTCCAATCTTTCCTTGAGATCTTTCTCTTGGGCCTGAGTCATTGCCACTGACACCTGTGGATTGTGGATGAGCTGGTTGCCGACCTGGATCTTGTTGACTGATGTGCCCATTTCCCGTTCAAAGTCCTGCTCAGGAATTCACGCTTCGGCTGCCAGAGTCGTGTGAAAACTCCATTTGAAAGCTCCGAGCAACATCCACAAACCCTGAATCACAACACGCCTCATGGATGCGCACGAATTCGCCCTCCTGCACGGTCTCGAAATCCTGTTGCCACCACTACCCGGCAGCAATGACAACCCTATGACCAGCTCGAAACCCTGACTTGTCTGGACGCAGCTGTAGACCGCAAAGCAATCCCCCCAACTCAAAAACGGTCTTTTCAGAACACTAGAGCATTTCACTGTACAACTCCAGGCTTGTTCACCGGGCGCTGAAGACAGCCTCGTTCCCGAAGAAGCTTTGCTTCACATTGCCAATTTGTTGGCCGGTCGAAGCTGCTTTGCGCCGTTTGCGTGTTGGCTTGGAACCATTTAATATTTAGAGGGCGGCAAACCGCCATTGTGACTCCAAGCTTTGTCGATCAGTGATTTCAGTCGCGGGTGCGTACCCTCCAGCAAGCACTTCATGCCATGATCTCCGTCCTCCACCTCAACCAGTTCAAGCCCAGTTGCTTGCGCCATGGCTCTGCTATCTGCGATTGGTACTGTATCATCTTTCGTGCCATGTACGATGATGACACGGCCCGAGCTACCTTCAGCAAGATTCCTGGTCATGGAAGCGTACACCTCAGCCGGGGCATAAGCTGGATCACGCCAGCCAGAACGCCCAACTGCTGCACCGTAAGCTGGAGCTATGAGGACCGCTGGGCCTTTCCACAGGCCCTTGGCGATTGCGAGCACGGCCACTGCACCACCCCAGGAACTGCCAACCAGCACGCCACCAGTCTCACTCGCCTTTGCCAACTCTGCAGCTTGGCACTGCAAGCAGCCATCAAGCGAGAACTGCACGCTGCAGGCCAGCAAATTCCAGGGTGCAGTGCTGAACGCATGTGCCAAGCAATTGCGAGCTATACCATTCCGCTTTGCCAAATTGAAGAGCGACATGTGCATGTCCACACAAATGACGTGCTCATAATGCTGTTGAAGAAAGCAATGTTTCCTTGACCAGACTTAGACCCATTGCAAACAGTTCCAGTATTTTGCTGGTTGAAAGGTAAAACCAGCAAAACCAAAAAGGTAAGGAGGAAAGCTAAGTCAGGCAATGTTTCCTCCCACCACATCCAGACTCCAAACCATGCAGGAAAATGACCCTTGGTTCGCCCATGGCTTCTTCGCTCGACTCCACTTACTGTACCTCAGCGGCAGCGTGCTGGGTAAATGCAACTGCGAAGTGCTTGAGCCGCACTGACAACCCGTATGGCCCATTTGAACTGCCCGCCGTCGATGCAACCAGTACCCAAAAGGTCAAGCGCCTTCTGGAGGATTTCCCAACAGGATGCAAGTTTTATCCTGGGCGGATTGCATTTCAAAACAAGCAGCTCTGCACACCGACCATGGAAACTAAGGAGAGCACGCGTCAGGACGCTTGCGGCCAGTCTTTTCCTCTTCTTCCGAATCCCAGCTGTCTGGCACCTAGGGCCGAAGCCCGATCATGCAGGCGTCCACTGCGCACAGTCGCTACAGCACAAACTTAGCAGACTTTTTTTGTTGTACCGCATTCTCTGAGGGCAGACTTAGCAGCTGGCAAAAAGTCGCAAAGCCTCTCGCAGCAAAGGCGTCGAGCGTGCAATGTTGCGGTACATAGTCTGTGATGTAGTCAGATCCTGAATCTCCTCAGATACAATGCCAGCTGCACAATGACTCAAATCTGGGTAGGGCCTTCCCTTCACCCACACCCCAGCCTGATCATCGTCCTTTTTCCCCTGCGTCTCTCTTAATTCCTTCGCTGCGTCCGCCTACAGGTAGGGATCAGCAGTAGTGCAAAACAGATCGCAGAATTTCTGCCCTCTTCCTGGATTGCCAACCGTCCCCTGCCTCTTCTTGCTGCCGAGCCAAATCCTGGCGAGACTGACGTGTCTTTGTCCATGCTGCTTTTCCCAATCCAGAGCAACTTGAGTCCTCCAAAAATCTGTGCTGAAGCTCTTCGGGGCTCAGCAAGAGCTCATCCACCAAGTTGCCTTGCCAAAAGCTGCCAACCAAGGCACTGCACTGGAGCAGTCTGGGCGTGCAACCGTCTTCGTCCTCAGGAAGTTCCTTGGCAGCAGCTGACCTCATAAACCGCGTGGTTGCACTCTCTCGACCCCTCCTGTCTCCCAAGGGGCCCAAGGGACACCATGAGACTGTGCGATCAAGACATTGCAAACGCGCCAACGGCCGCATTCTCCCTTGCAGCTTCTTGACCAAAGCCCAGGTCGCAGCCAACACAAAGACTTGACAGCACCTTTTGTCGTTCCATTGCAGGATGTCAACGCCAAAGCCCCTCCTGCATAACACACCCCCGCTGTCCTGAATGCTTGCAGCCCAAGCTGCTACCCCTGCGCTTGCTAAACTGTACATGCGGCAAAGAAACAGCGTGAAGTTACGACGACTTTCTGTCGAGCAAATTCAGGCGCACAAGTCATTAAGCACATAAGGTTCTGTTCCGTGAGCATGTGCTTGAGCTGCCATGCTCTCCTTGAACCTCTTATGTTCCCCAATCCGTGCTGACTGTGTTGACTTGACAAGTGTCTTCGGAGCGTGGGCCTCCTGAACGAAGCGTGCATACTCATCGTCCAGGGTGCGTGTGGCTTTGCCTTGTGCCCGCCGTCGCTCTGCGGCCCTTCTCACAGCTTCACCGGGACCAGGCTCAGTCTCAACGCCGAAATCCGAGTTTGGCGCGGAGGGCAGGCGACCAAGTTCTCGTACAGTCTGGCTTCCAAAGCTGCGGCTGGACGTTGTCGAGCCGCTCAGCATCAGCTCCGATTGCCTCTGCGAGGCCGGCTGATGCATGTGCAACTGCTGGCGCTGGAGTTCTTGCTGCTGGCGCATAAGTTGTTCCGCACGATCGTGTTGCTGGCAATGCATCTCCCACAATTGCCGTTCTGCCTCCTGTCTCTGGTGACTCCATGCCGGATGGAGTCCTGGCTCTGCGTCTGCCTTCCTTTCGGAAGAGGCCAGCAAGCCTTCCGTGTCTGATCCCTTCACATTGTTAGCTCTGCACATTGGCAGTGCTGTCGGAGGAGCAGGCAGTGACGCAGGACGATTGAATGACTGAGGCATATGAGCCCGCATGGTTTTCTGCAGGCTCTCCAGCAGTTCCTTGTTTCGGCTTTCAGCTACCGCCAGTCGAGCGCGCGCATCACCAAGTTCCTGTGCAAAGCTGGCTTGCACCTCTGACAGCTCAGTGTATAGCCCATCGACTGGATTTGACCCGGCACTCTGGGCCTCAAAGACTCCTGCACGAGTTCTCGCTTCCTGTTCTGACAGGCGCTGCGTGAGTTCGTCATGCGCATACCTCCAGCTGCCTTCTGCTTTCCTGGCCGCTGTTGCTTCTGTCTGGGCTTCTTGCAGGGCTGTACGCAGAGCTCCTCTGTCACGCTCCGAGGACAGCTTCTCTTGGGCAAGCTGTTGGCTCACTCGCTGAAGCTCTTGCTTCATTGCTGCCAGTTCGCCTTTGTACCGCTCTTGCTTAGATGCTGCCTTGGTCATGCTGTGCTCAAACTCATCGCGCTGAGCCTGCGAGTCCGTTCTCCTCCGCGCAAGTTCAGCAGAAGCATCCTGCAATTCTGACCTCAATGAAGCAATCTGAGAGCTCTTCAGCCGTGCATCTTCTGAGAAGCTTCTTTGCTGCTCCTCAAGCCTGCGAACCTCGCCCAGCAGCTTGGACGCCATGGCTTCCGACTTGCTCAGCCTGTCTTCTGACAGGCCAAGACTCACTGAAAGCCTTCCCGCCTCCTGGCAGAGTTCTGCCATTTCACTCCGACTGCTTTCGCTCAAAGGCGCGGCATGTTTCGTGCCACTTGCACCCTGCGTGGCGCGAGGTGGCCCAAAATCCCTGACTTCCGGCGTTTGCTTGGCAGAGGCCGGTTGACACTCAATGCCACAACTGTGCTCAGCACAGTGCGACCTTCCGCTGCCTGACGAGCCTTTTTCCATCTCAGTGCCTTGCGAGCTCAGAACTGGAGTGGCCAAATCAGGCTGGCTTTCAATGCTGGCAGCTCGAGCTTCAAAGGGAAGCCCATCCCATACGGATGGAAGGGAGGCCACGGTCCGCGTTTCGCAGGTCTCGTCATCACTGCTGGAACAAGCTTCAGGGTATGCCCGGAAAACCTCCAACCAGGTGACTGAGCCCGCTTCAGCAGTCCTTTCAATGGCAACTCCCACTTCGGGCCAATACAATTCTCTCACTGTCGCATCTTGCTGCTCGCAGCTGAGGCCGATGTTGGGCACAACCTCCTGTAAAAGCCATCCACGTGACATGCGAGACAGCACTGCAAGCATTGAGCCCTGCGCATAGGTGCTACCATGTTCTGGGAATTGACTTCGGGAGTACTGCTGCTGAAATCGACCAGCTTGGATGGAAAGGTACAGCCAGCCGCCGTGCGTTCGCCCTACGGAGGCCAGCACAAGGTGCTGCACGCTGGAGGGCAGCTCTTCGAGTTGCAGCTCCAGCGTCAGCTCAGCCTCTGAATCCACGGTGGCCTTGCCACGACGGGCCTCCCCTTTGGCCAAGACAGCGCTTCGACCCAGGCTCTCTGGACACTCATTGGCATCCAAAAGCTCCAGGTCACAGCCAAAGAGCCCACATCGTAGCTCGATGGCTGTAAAGCCCTCAGAACGCAGTGCACAGCGTAACCTGCACGATGGCAAATGTAGCGCTTGCTGGCTGCCATGAGGTTCCATGCGCAATTCACATGCCGCCTGGCTAGCAACAAAGTTGATGGTGCATAGCTTGTTTGCCAGGAACTGTCTGAGCTTGACAAGAAGCGTACCATAACTGAGGCATCTAGCAGGCTAACCTGGTTTGTAAATGACGCTTGGCTTCCAAGACCGTTGATGTTGCAGTACAAATGTTTTGTTCCTGATCTTTCATCTTGAGGCGCTTGCTGCAGATTTACAGGCAAAGCGTTCTCTGCAGCACGCTCAATCGCAATCCTGCGAATCGCGTCTAATGCAGCCAAGCCGCAATGCTTTGAGCTCCTGCGATTCATACCGCTGGAAATCACACAGCCTTCAAAGACACGGACTGCCTCCTCCAGCATCATTGTTGTAAGGAGATCTCCTCAGACACGACGCTCAAAATGCCACTCAAGTAATTACAACCTACCTTGCACACCTTGCCAAAGGAAGTTTAGAAGGAACTTCCGTGGTACGGCAACTAATTGAAAGCTAGCTCTCTGAGACAGATGACAAGAGAAGGAAGCCCGCGAGGAAAAATGTGCGCGCGTGTGGTGGGAGAATAGAAAATCGCAAAAAGCGTGCGAAAGCTAGCCTGTCCGCGGCGTCTGGTCGGAGCGGTCCCGGATCGCAACACAGAGGTTTCGCAAGGTTGGAAGTGCGTGGCAGGCGCAGCATTGTGGCAAGGTCAAGCGCAGATTTCGTGGCAGGCGCGCAGCACTTTCGCAAGGTCAAGTTTTCCCAAGGATTGAATTGCGTGGCAGGCGCAGCATTTTCGCAAGGTGAGGTACTGATTTTGTGGCAGGTGCAGCATTTTTGCAAGGTGAGGTACAGATTTTGTGGCAGGTGCAGCATTTTCGCAATGCCAAGTACAGATTTCGTGGCAGGCGTAGCACTTTCGCAAGGTCAAGTATAGATTTCGTGGCAGGCGCAGCACTTTCGCAAGGTCAAGCGCAGATAAAGAGATAAATAGGTAGATAAATAAATGGATCGGTAGGTAGGTAGATAGATAGATAGATTAGATAGATTGAAAAAAGAGAAAGAGAGATAGATAAATAGATAAAATATAATCCAGATACATAGATAGAGAATTTAGGTAGGTAGATAGATCGAAAGATAGATAGATAGATAGATAGATAGATAGAAAACAGAAAGAAATAGATAGATAGATAAAAAGAAAGATAGATATACAAATATAAATAAATATTGGATAGATACAAGCAAAGAGAGAGAGAGAGAGATAGGTCAATAGACAGATAGATTGACAGATGAAAAGAGAGACGAAGAGAGAGATATAATAGATAGATAGATAGATACATAGATCGGCAGGTAGGTAGATAGATAGATAGATAGGTTAGATAGATTAGATAGAAAAACAAAAAGAAAGAAAGAGAGAGTGATAGATAGATAAATAAAATGAAATCAAGACAGATAGATCGAGACAAAGGTGGGGAGATAGATCGAAAGATAGACAAATAAATAGACAAATAGATAGATAGATAGATAGACAGATAGATAGATAGATAGATAGAAAACAAAGAGATAGATAGATAGAAAACAAAGAGATAGATAGATAGGTAAAAGGAAAGATAGATATATATATATACATATGTAGATAGATAGATGGATGAAAAGGGACAGAGAGAGAGAGAGATAAAAAGATAGATAGGTCGATAGATAGATAGATTGATAGATGAAAAGGGAGAAAGAGAGAGGTAGATAAACATACAGATAGATAGATAGATAGACAAATAGAAAAAAGATAGGCAGATGGACAAATAGATAAATAGGTCAAGAGAGAGAGAGAGAGATAGATAGATAGATAGATAAATAAACCAAGTAAACAAGAGATAGATGGATAGATAGATAGATACAGAGACAGACAGATAAGTAGATAAACAAATGAGATAGATAGATAGACAAATAAAAAGAGAAATGGAGAAAGATTTGTAGAAAGATAAAAAGAGAGATACATAGATGGATGGATGGATGGATGGATGGATAGATAGACAGATAGATAGATAGGTATATAGAGGGATAGAGAGATACATGGATGGAAAGATAGGATACATGAAGAGACAAATAGACAGATAGGTAGATAGATAGATAGATAGATAGATAACATATAGGTACATATTTATCTAGATGTATAGATAGACAGAAAGATGAATAGATGCAAAGAGGTATAGATAGGTATATAGACAAATACATAGATAGAAAACAGGGAGATAGATAGATAGATAGATAGATAGATAGATAGATAGATAGATAGATAAAAAAGAGAGATACACAGAGAGAGAGAGAGAGAGATAGATAGATAGATAGATAGATAGATAGATAGATAGGTTAGATAGGTTAGATAGATACATACATAGATAGATAGATAGATAGGTAGATAGGTTAGATAGATAGAGACATAGAGAAATAGATAAAGAAATACATAGATTAGATAGATAGAGAGATAGGTAGAGAAAATAAAGAATATAGATAGATAGATAGATAGATAGATAGAGAAGAGACAAAAGAAACAACGGTGCAAAAAAAAAAAAAACAAAAGAAAGAAAGCAAAGAAAGAACGAAAACAAAGAAAGAAAGAAAGAAAGAAAGAAAGAAAGAAGGGAAAGGACAGAAAGAAAGAAAAAAAGAAAGAAAGAGATAGTGACGAAGAAGAAACAAAGAAACCGTGACAAGGAAGAAGAAGAGAACAAGAATCAAGACAGGAAAGACAAAGAGAACTATAGTTCTTACATTTTTGAAACTTCCGCCCACCGGCTTGCCGGCTCTACTGGTATCTGACACCCGCCTGATTCATCTGCCGCATCGCCTTACTGCAAGACTCGTGTCGGAAGAACACGCCATAAAACTAAATGAAGCCTGGCAAGCCTTTTGCAACACGGGGGTGGAAATACCCGTGGCCGTTCATTTCACTCCCGGATTCTGTGGTCCATTCTGGTACCTTGCACTGCCTTGCAGTAACTGGCAGGAAGCGCCACGCCATCAAGGTCACCCAAATTCAAGGGTGCATCCTTCTCTGGCTGGCCTGGTGACGGACTCGCCACGGCCTGTCCAGCCGCACCTGCAAAGCGCTGAGGCTCGACTTTAACCGAGGCATGTCGCACAGGACAACCATCAGCGAAGCTTGCTCAGCGCGGCCTGGAGATCCGGTGCTCTGCTGCGGAGTCCCGGGCGCCGCAAGACCCAGCGTGCCTGGCGTTCACCACGTTCCAAAAAAGAATAATCTAGAATAATCAAAAACCAAAAACAAGGAACGTCTGGGAAGCAGGCTTGCCGGATCAGGCGGCTCTGGTGCAGCTGGCTCTAGCGTCTCTGCACCTCCAGCACCGCCTCCAGCACCGCGCGTCCAGAAAACCGCATCAACTTATGTTATATGGTGCACTCACACACACACAAACAGACACACAACATTCACGCGCGCGGGTAGGTTTAGCGAGGTCAATCTCGAGTGGCCGGGGTGGGTGTAGAGCAAAAAAGCCAACAAACAAACTAGCCAAACGCATGAGTGGTTGCTGGATGCTCTTCCGCAAACACGGAGGTTTGCCCGCCTGCTGACGGCCTCGCCGGTGTCTGCCCAGCATCACCTGTAAGCGCTTGGAGGCTCAACACCCGAGGCATGTCAAACACCGGAAAGCCGCGTCTTAGACTGCAGCCTGAGGATTCGGTGCTGAGCTTTGGTGTCGCAGGCGCCGCAGGACCCGCCGGGCCTCCAGCAGAGAACAAAGCAAGACGAGCAGCTAGAGCTGCAGGGCGTCCAACAATTTGGTGGAACACCATTCCACACCATTTTCCGAAGCTAGCCAAGAAGTTAAAAGCTTAGCATGCTCAATAAACGAGCCGTCAAAATAAGGCACATTGCCCGGGCAGCAGGCTCGCTGGTTCAGCCGGTTCGGGCGCAGCTGGCTCTAGTGCTGCTGCGTCACCTCCAGCAGAATTTCTGTGCATGTTCATCGATTGTTTTCGTGTCTGGTTGCTCTCTAGCCTGTGCGAAATCCACTGGGGCCTGATCGCAATCCGTAATTCTCTCTCTCCCTGTTCTGATTGGCGATCTTCTTAATCCGCAATCCGCGCTTCAAAGTGTGACTTGAAACCTTATGCTGGAGCATTGAAACCCATGTGGTGACATCCGTAAACTGCGTAATCCGCAATCCGCTAATCATTGCGATTGTGCTTTGAACGAGCTAGGCTTTTAGTGTACTCCAGCCTTCTGGCTGCGAAGTTGCCCCAGCAGGCGTAGTGACGCCTCCTCACTAACGAAGCGCAGCGCGCATTGACGAAGCAGTGCGCTGCATTCAGCTCATGTCATGCCGAACTCTCGTTACCCTGATTTGGTTGCTCTCTTTCTCTCTCTCTGTCTCTCTCTTTCTCTCTCTCTCTCTCTCTCTCTCAGAAAAACGCTGCCTTCCAATGGAGTCTGCTGCACCGCCCCACCTGCGCTCAACTGCAGGGTGCCAGCCATTGGTGAACCCAGTAAAGACCCTTGCAAGTTGCAACATTCCACCGACTTGTGCATTTCGTGGCTACCCAGCATTGATTCAAGATGCCTCAGGCATCCTGTTGCACGTATTCCGCCCATCTACGTGACCAGTCCACAGTTGGGCAGGCCCATCCTATCATGAGTCACGCACCAGCCCTTGTCACGCAGATTCTGTTCTTGCCCCGCCCCGTTCACAGCCTAAAAAGCACACAACCCAACTATAAGGTGCTGTGAGTCGGAACAAGCATGCCACGTTGCACCTGGGACAGGTGATGCTGAAGGCTCGGCAGGGCCTTCGGCGCACATGTGCCAAACTCGGCTGCAGAGCCAACACAATACCCTTCTCTGGTCGGCCTGCTGACGGACTTGCCGGTGTCTGCCCAGCATCACCTGTAAGCGCTTGGAGGCTCAACACCCGAGGCATGTCAAACACAGGAAAGCTGCATCTTAGACTGCAGCCTGAGGATTCGGTGCTGAGCTTTGGTGTCGCAGGCGCCGCAGGACCCGCCGGGCCTCCAGCAGAGGACAAAGCAAGACGAGCAGCTAGAGCTGCAGGGCGTCCAACAAGTTGGTGGAACACCATTCCACACCATTTTCCGAAGCTAGCCAAGAAGTTAAAAGCTTAGCATGCTCAATAAACGAGCCGTCAAAATAAGGCACATTGCCCGGGCAGCAGGCTCGCTGGTTCAGCCGGTTCGAGCGCAGCTGGCTCTAGTGCTGCTGCGTCACCTCCAGCAGAATTTCTGTGCATGTTCATCGATTGTTTTCGTGTCTGGTTGCTTTCTAGCCTGTGCGAAATCCACTGGGGCCTGATCGCAATCCGTAATTCTCTCTCTCCCTGTTCTGATTGGCGATCTTCTTAATCCGCAATCCGCGCTTCAAAGTGTGACTTGAAACCTTATGCTGGAGCATTGAAACCCATGTGGTGACATCCGTAAACTGCGTAATCCGCCATCCGCTAATCACTGCGATTGTGCTTTGAACGAGCTGGGCTTTTAGTGTACTCCAGCCTTCTGGCTGCGAAGTTGCCCCAGCAGGCGTAGTGACACCTCCTCACGGTGAAGCGCAGCATGCAGTGCCGAAGCAGTGCGCTGCATTCAGCTCATGTCATGCCGAACTCTCGTTACCCTGATTTGGTTGCTCTCTTTCTCTCTCTCTGTCTCTCTCTTTCTCTCTCTCTCTCTCTCTCTCTCAGAAAAACGCTGCCTTCCAATGGAGTCTGCTGCACCGCCCCACCTGCGCTCAACTGCAGGGTGCCAGCCATTGGTGAACCCAGTAAAGACCCTTGCAAGTTGCAACATTCCACCGACTTGTGCATTTCGTGGCTACCCAGCATTGATTCAAGATGCCTCAGGCATCCTGTTGCACGTATTCCGCCCATCTACGTTACCAGTCCACAGTTGGGCAGGCCCATCCTATCATGAGTCACGCACCAGCCCTTGTCACGCAGATTCTGTTCTTGCCCCGCCCCGTTCACAGCCTAAAAAGCACACAACCCAACTATAAGGAGTCGGAACAAGCATGCCACGTTGCACCTGGGACAGGTGATGCTGAAGGCTCGGCAGGGCCTTCGGCGCACATGTGCCAAACTCGGCTGCAGAGCCAACACAATACCCTTCTCTGGTCGGCCTGCTGACGGACTTGCCGGTGTCTGCCCAGCATCACCTGTAAGCGCTTGGAGGCTCAACACCCGAGGCATGTCAAACACAGGAAAGCTGCATCTTAGACTGCAGCCTGAGGATTCGGTGCTGAGCTTTGGTGTCGCAGGCGCCGCAGGACCCGCCGGGCCTCCAGCAGAGGACAAAGCAAGACGAGCAGCTAGAGCTGCAGGGCGTCCAACAATTTGGTGGAACACCATTCCACACCATTTTCCGAAGCTAGCCAAGAAGTTAAAAGCTTAGCATGCTCAATAAACGAGCCGTCAAAATAAGGCACATTGCCCGGGCAGCAGGCTCGCTGGTTCAGCCGGTTCGGGCGCAGCTGGCTCTAGTGCTGCTGCGTCACCTCCAGCAGAACTTGCTAACTAGAAACAACTGGAACGTGTGCGAGCTGGAATGACCCTGCGCTGAAAAACATGCTAGCCACGAGTTGCCCTTGCAAGGTAAGCTGACGAGAGCAGCTTCGTGCTCAAAGCCCTGGTCACAGTTGCCATGCATCGAACCTACCTCCCGGCAGGCGTCCAATCCCCAAAGAACGAGGATGTGTCGGTAAGCGGCGCTTTGAACTGGAAACCATCTAGGGTGATCAAAGCCAAATGTCATCACAAGGCCGGATGCCTAAAGGCCGTCTAACGGTGCCCTTGTCTCTCAGCCAATGGCCACCTCCTTCCGCTGGATTCTCCTGTGCAGCACCTGCAAGGTGCGGGCAAGCCACAAGGCCCCCGATACGTGAACCCAAGTGTTCATTATTCAAGGAGGTTGTCCCACCGGCTCAACCCGATCCCTCAAACACAAGAGAAAGGGCCCTGAACCTTCAGCATGCTGCAAAGCCGGATGGCCAAACCCCTATAGCATGCCTCCTTACTCTGAATCTCTCCCTCTCTCTCTCTCTCTGCCGTTGCGTCCAGAGCAACGGCAGAGGGTCTTGACTCAGCAAGGCAACAAATCTTGCTCTGAATCAAAGGGCTTGACAAGGGCAAAGGAACGAATGGCATGGGCAATATTTCGCAGGAGCGACCAGGCCGGGCCAGGCCACGGTGGCAAATAATATTTGCCTTTGCCCTGCGAAAATGAAGCCAGCCTTCCGGCTGCAAGCTTGCAACTGCCGGTGTGATGGCATCACTTCCTCAGCTCTTCGTTTCACCCAGCGAAGGGTGGGCAGAATGCAGTGCTCGGTGGGCCGCTAGCTGCAGGCAGTATGTCCAATGAGCTCGTTGCCCTGCTCCGTCCTGCTCTGCCGTTGCCTAATTTGAGTCCGCGGCTGCCTCCTTCTGCTTGAGCCTGTTGTGCCGCGCCGCCTATGCTCAAAGTTGGTTGCCGTCTGAGCAAGATTTGATTGCAAACAGCAGTAGCTAAGCAGGCTGCAAGCTATTTTATAAAATTTTACCTATTCCAACATTGGATGCTGATCATGGCACATCTTGCTTCCGCGCGGGGACCATGAAGCTTCTGGATTCTGGATGCTTGTTCATGCTGCACCTTCAGATTGTTGTTCTCCAGGCTCGGCATCTTGAAGCTCTGGACTTGGAACCCTGGTGCTGGCCTCAGAACACTGTGACATCAAATGTGGCAACACGCCTCTACCTCGCCAAACCACACCTCACGTCACTCATGCAGGGATGTCAATCCGCACCTACTGCTATGGCAGCGTCGCAGAATGAACAGGAGATGCCAGAAGAATACCGAAGACAAAGCAAATAAGAAAAAAGAAAACACGTTAGAAAGCGCCTGCCACCCCTGCTCTTCAATTTGCAGACAAGTTGCCTGAGGCTGAGCAGAATCTGCCTGAGTTGCACAAGCATCTGAAGTTTGAAAACGTGGCCTCCTTAAGAAAACACATGCGGCCAAATAAGATGCAGCACTGTTGCGGCAGGCTCTGCCTTGCCGCCACCTGTTCAAGGCTTCTAGCTGCTTGGTCCGGGGGGGTTGTGTAATTCCATTCCCCGCCTTCGTCTGGCTGTCCCTGTGCGGCCTCGACGTGTCTGACTTTTTGCCGGCTTATGCTGTGTGACGCATGCAACCGCAAGGCCTGTGGATTAGCCTCTGCTTCACCTGACATGAACTTGGAGCCAGTTGCAACCATCAAAGACTCTGCAACTGGCACGGCAGCTTGCCTTCCACGATGCCCTTTTGGCCGGATGCTTTCAGAGCCTCAGCTCCAAAAATGCATCAACCTCACACGCAATACAATGTGGGAAACGTCTTGTTGCTTGCCGCAAGCTATCTCAGACATTGCGAGCCTCCGCATCCAGTGTGCCAGCATCTGCGCCCTCTTCTGAGGAGGACGGCGCAAGCTCCTTCAACAGCTCCTGGAGGCAGTTGCCAAAACCACTAGACAAACGGGCCCCAAAAGTGAAGCTGCGTTCATCTGAATTCCTTGTCGACGGTGTCGAACAGGCCATCTGGGTGAGTCGCTGCAACCTTTGCCAAGCGCAGTGCAGCTTGATGACATGATCTGCTGCTTGCAATGCCTGGCTCTTTTTTTCTGCGATCACCTCCGAAACAGCAACGCCCCGAATTCTCTCTTCCAAAAGCCCTTCAGCTGCACCAACCCGGCAAGCCTCCAACGCCTCCATGATGTGCTCGTCCGACTGGGAAAACCGGGAGTGCAGGAGGGCCTCCTTCTTGCCTCACCAGGTGGCTTGGGCTCAGTCTGGAACGTGTGGACATGCCAACTCATGACTGAACTCTGCCATGGCAGACCTGGCGAGCTGCTTGGCACGCTGGGATCGGCTTCTAGGGCCTTTCGTGGACCGCGAAAAGGGCTGAATTGAATGCGGCGCATCAATTATTGGCTGCGCCTTTCCCACATCCGCATCAGTAATGGCATCTGCGATGTCCGTGCCAGCCTCTCACCAGAAACGCCAGCCCCATGCTGCGCTTGGTTGCGTGTCTGCTTCCAGTTACGCCCCAAGTAACCCCGGGTGCACCAACACGGCCTGTCAAAGGACGGGCCGTGTGAAGCAACGCAAGAGGTGCCGAAAGCGCTTACTCAGGGCCGGGAAGCGGTCAGACCACTTCAAAACCTCTTCGAAATCCTGCAAAACCAATTTGGTCCGTCCGCGGCCAAAATCTGCTGCCTCCAGTCCGCCTGAGCGAGCCTGGACGCCCCAGGGATGGGGGCGGTCAGATCCCTTCAAGATAGGGCTTGCCCCCCAATTTCCCCCAACCGGTCAAACCCATCAAATTCCGCTCCCCTTAAAACACCGTAGAAGCCGATCAAACTCCCCTCTAGAAACCTGACAAATCCTCAACTCCGGTCAAATCCCTCAGAAACCTGCAAATTCCTCCCCAGAAACCAATCAAATTCCCTAGAAATTTGCACATGCGCTTGGTGCAGGCTCTCTCGTTCTAGCCCTTGAAGCCATGCGGAAACACACAGACATGCACCCTCTACCTTGGAAACCAGCTCACGCATTTTTGCGCCGACCCACTCAATCTTATAAACACAAGGTTTCGCGGCAAACCAAAGAACGGCGTATACCTCAGAGCCAGCCAAAAGCGCACTGGCCGAGGTGGGCAACGCGAAGCGTTTACAATTTATATGTATTTTTTCGTTTTTTTCTATGGGCGTAGGGGTGGCCTGGCAGCCGCCCAAAAGCTGTCGGGCGGAGACGTGCCGTGACCCAGGGCAAGCCGGCAACACCGCTTCCTGCCATTGACAAGGCCTTGCTAATGTAACAGTGTGTGGAAAGGAAACAACAGCTGCCTTAAACCTTAAGCGTTGCTCAGCAGTCATAGTTTGACGTAAGCGGCCCTTAGAGCGCTCACGATTTCGTTTAGCTTGCCAACGCACTTTTGGCAGAAATCTATTCTGCTGCGAAGCTATGGTTTCGTTGGTCGATCTGATAAGTTGCTGTGCAATGGAGAGGCGCCTCTCTGATGGAGGCAAGTTGTTGACATGCATCCTGCTTCCGGCCTGCAAGCCAGTTGTACTGGCAGGCTGTGCCTCATCTTCCTGGGCCAGTTCGAGGGAGCCAGGCTCGAAACAATGCATCTAAGAAGTGGCTCGATTTGGTCAACCTGCTGTCTAGCTTCGCGTGGGGTTGCGCCGCCCTCTCTCACATAAAGATCAGCCTGGCAAGGGTACCACTGGAGTCCAGGCACAATGTCGGTTCAAATAAAAGGAAAGACCAGGTACTGAGTTCGAAAGGCACGCTGGTAATTTGATGGCACATCATGTTTGACTTTGACCCGTGCTGCGTAGACGTCGGAGCAAAGCAAAGAAGCCTCCAAATGAATTGTAAAGCATGAAAATGCAAAGGGCCCGATTGAAATATCAAGCGTTTGCGCTAGCCCCGTCTTGCCACTGCGTGTAGCCACCAACTGGAACAATCACGGCCGACCAAATGCACGTCTGCACATGACCAAATACAAGCATGCTTTGGCAACACAACTTGCGAACATGCTTACTTCCTTCCTTCCTTCCTTCCTTCCTCCCTTCCCTTCCCTTCCTTTCCTTTCCTTTCCTTTCCTTTCCTTTCCTTCCTTCCTTCCTTCCTTGCCTTATTTCTGTCTGCGTTTGCTTCCTGCATTTATTCTGGCCGTTCTCTCTGTTTTGCCGTTCATAATATGTCCTCTCTCTCTCTCTAGTGCCTTGTTCCTACCTCTCCGTTTTCATGAATTTTCTTGTTTCCTTCCTTTCTGCCCGAGATTAGGTTGTTTTTTGCTTGCTTTCTTTTTCTTTATGTGATTATGTATTTACATATTCATTTGCTGGAATAGTTGTCTTTATGTTGTGTTTGCCTTCTTTGTTTTTCTTTCCTTCTTGATTTGTTCATTTCTTTCTTTCTATCTCTCTTGCGTTCTTGCATTCTTGTCTTGTCTTGCTTTCACTATTTGCTGTTTGTCTTTCCTTTGTTTCTCGACTTACGTATGTCTTTCTTTCCTTCTTTAATCCATATATTCCTTTCCTTTGTTTCTTCTATTCTTTTCTTTCTTTACTTGTTTTCTTCCTTCCTGCCTGCCTGCCTGCCTGCCTGCCTTCCTTCGATTTTCTTTATTCTCTTTATTTTGTGCTTTCTTTCCGCAGGCCCGCGGGCGTGTCTTATAAGGAATGCTGTGAAACCTTCCCCTGATGTTCTTTGAGCTGGCGCACGCACCCTACCTGCAAGAACTCGGAGCTGCCCATGAAGGTGAGAGCTTTTCGCAAGTTGTCTTTCTGCTCATCCTCAGAAGGGACATATCCAACGTTCACGACGCACCTCACACTGACAGTCACTGACACGTGAGGCTCGCTCCGGGTCATCGTCAGGCCCCATCATGTCACCTATGTCCTGCATAGGCTGAGGCTCTGGATCAGCACCCGGCCAAATGTCTAGTGTTCCATAATGTTCGATCTGCTTCCTGGGTCATCTCAGCCATGATGTCTCCAAGTCCCTTTGCACCTAAGCTCGAAGCTCGGTGCCTTCAGTGGTTCCTTTGCCCTTCAACATCACTGAGCACACGGGCTGACATCATCAGCATCTGCTTCAGTCTGGCTTCCAGCCTGGCAGCATTAGAGACTCTGAACAGGTCCAAGCTTTATGCAACGCAGCCTCTGCAGCTTCTTTTGATCCGACTTCTGCCTTCGACTTTCGTCTTGGCTTTCGCCAGGTATGACCAGACCTCTCTTCTTGCAGCATGCCTGAACAAGGCCGTTCCAGGTCGACTTTGGCTTTCAAGTCGCATGAAACATGTCCAAACATTGCGGGGCCCGTCAAGACCGCGGCATTCTTTTGGAGTGTCAATCAGTTCCTGAGCCAATCAGCCTTCTGAGTTTCAAGCAGCCATGTCTACTAGGTTCTGATCAGGCATATCACTCGCATGCATGCTCTTCCCTGGCTTGGCCAAGCAGCGTGAAATTGCACAAGTTTCTTGACCTCGGCATCATCTGCGCCCACAGTACCGCTCAAACGAAGTGAGCAA